GCCTCCATAGCCTACAAACAAAAAAAATAGAGATGGCCAAATCAGAACTAGTATTTCTCTAAACCGAATTAATTATCGGTTCTAGCTCGGTCCATCCTAATAAAAAAAGAAAAGAAATCAAAGATGGAATTAAGAAAACCGGTTATACTTGAATCTGCATTCGTAAATCCTTGGTAGAAGGTAATGCATTCCATAGAGAGGCTTTAGAAGGAGCATTAACAAACACTTGGTCTCTCTCCCATACAAATTCTTTTAGAGTTCTCTTGTTTGTTTCTCCATCGCTTGTGCTTGTGATATTATTGTATTGTGGCCATTTTATGGAATAATATAATTTCCACACCTGTCACACAACATCAACAAAATTTTCCAAGTTAAAAGAAAAGTAAATATAAATGGGTACAATTGGTGTTCAAAGATTAAGAAAATGGAAAAAAAAAAAATCGAGGAGTACTTCGCTTTCTGGACTAAAGATAATAGGTGATAAAAACATAAACCAAATCGTATCAAACCATATTTATATACATTGGGTTTTATTTAAGTTAAGACCATAGCTCTAAAAGAAAACCTAACAGAAAATAAGGTCATAGTCTAATAGAAACGTATGTAATTTACACTTAACTTGTTGTTCAACTTGCTTAAGAGAAAATCCAGAGTCGGTATCGTTATTTGGATTCAGCATCTTGAGAAGACGTCTCTCACCACCCATGCTATGTGCCTCGTGTAACATCCGATGGTTTAGATTCTATAAGATAATCGAAACAAAATAATCAGATTTTCTTTGTTGAACATTTTTTAAGATCAAGAAAAAGGGTAATTAGAAATTAGGGTTTCTAACATGGATGTTAATCTCTCGTTCCCCAGAAGAGAATGATACAACAACTTTCTTGTCACGATACGCATTATTAGCGAATGTTAACTTGTCTAGCACCATCTTCTTAGGACAATCTGATTGGAAGTTCTCGTAATCCTCGCGGGACCATCTTTAACGCAAGTTGTATTCTAATCTTGAGATGGCTTTTTCATGAACGACCCGTTCTCAAGAGTAACATTCTTATATTCTACAATATATACCTATATCGAGAGAAAATGAGTTTGTCAACAAACATGTGCATACCTTTTTCTCTGTGATTTTTCTTTCGATTTGAAGCATTTGTTGTTGCATTTCCTCTACCATCTTCTCGTTTTCTTCTATTGACTTGGCACGGTGGTGCCAATTCCTCTTCGGTCCAACAAGATCAAGATCTTGATGTCCATTCCTCTTCGGTCCAACAAGATCAAGATCTTGATGTCCTTCATGTCCATTATTTTTCTTTCTTCCACTTTTTACGACTTACATGGCCTCGAAAAAAAAAAAGTTGGTTCGTGTAAGAAAAAATAGACTAAAAGTTTATAATTAAGGGTTTACAAAATGGAAGAAAGTTGTCTGAGTTATAAAATACAGAGAGTTGAGACTTTAATATAAGCTTCCTAAGTCTATCTACACAATTAAAATTATATTTTGGAATTGGTTTGCACACCAAGGAAGTTGACAATTTTGCCACCTTTTTCTTTTCTTAGTTTAATTCAACCACACTTCTTTTCTCTCTAAACAAATCGTTTTAATCACTGATTAATGAGTATAGATATTTTTTTAACAGTTACTTACTAGAATGACTTTGGAAATGACTTTGGAAAATAGGGTAATTACTAGAATGACTTTGTCAAATCTAGTAACTTGACACAACTCGATAAAAGACAAATAAACTTCAATAATCTATTTTATTTATGCAACTGCCATCCTGAAACCTAAAAAAAAAAAAAACTTATAAATCTATCATAACTACCCAATAAGTCTACCACCACATGTATACGTTGGAAATTCTTTAAACCAATAAATAAAACATTTGTTTYAAACCARCYTCGCGGAGGCTGCGGAAGCACCGGATCGTGCTCGGCGAAGGTGGGGAGGCTGCAGAAGCACCGAGATTTAGGTAAAAATTGAACTAAAAATCAAAAGTTGAAAAAAAAACTCAAAATCTTTTGATTTTTTGTTAGAAAATGGATATATGATGTTAGATCTACTAGTTTTAGGCTAAACCCAGTTGAAAACAAATTAAAACACAGCAAAAACGAGCTAAAAATGAGTTGGCCGCCATTGTTAGGGTTTGACATAAGCTTGGGTGTGTTGGAGAAGATGAAGGGTAAATTACGATTTTGTCCTTCATTGAATAAATCTACCACTACTATAAATAAATATTATAAGTCTACCACTACTACAAATAAGTCTACCACATATTATAAATCTACCACTACCACATATTATAAATCTACCACTATTATAAATAACTCTACCATAACTGTAATTAAGTAAGGTCATTCTAGTAAAACTCTGAAAAGATTTAATAAGTCTACCACAAAGACAAATAAGTCTACCAAATTTAATAAATCTACCACAACTTTAAACAAGTCTACCATAGGGCGAAACCATAATTAAGTCTACCACCACTAAATATAAGTCTATCAGATATTATAAATCTACCACTACTATAAATAAGTCTACCATCGCTAAACATCAATAAGTCTACCAATCAAAAAATTAAATCTACCATCACTACAAATAAGTCTACCGATCATAAAATTAAGTCTACCAGTTCTACAAATAAGTCTACCACATCTTATAAATCTACCACTACTATAAACAAGTCTACCATCGCGTAAACCATCAATAAGTCTACCACTACTACTAATAAGTCTATCACTGACAAATAAATCTACCATAACTATAAATAAGTCTACCATCGCATGAACCATCAATAAGTCTACCAATCACAATAATAAATCTACCACAACCACTAATAAGTCTATCACTCAAAAATAAATCTACCACAACTATAAATAAGTCTACCACTACAACGCATAAGTCTACCGTAACTACTCAATAAGTCTACCACAACTTACAATAAGTCTACCACTACTTACAATAAGTCTACCACTACTATAAACAAGTCTACCACTACTATAAACAAGTCTACCACTGCCTGCACCGTAATAAGTCTACCGACCACTTTATAAATCTACCACTACTACAAATAAGTCTACCGATCCCAAAATTAAGTCTACCAGTACTACGAATAAGTCTACCACATATTATAAATCTACCACAACTATAAATAAATATACCATCGCGTACACCGTAATAAGTCTACCAGACGTTTAATAAGTTTACCGTAATAGAATGGTAGACTTATTTAATTTTGGCGGAAAAAAATTTCTGCTTCATTAATGGCAGTTTCGTAAATACGTTTTTTGTCTTCAAATGAAATAAGGTTAACATAGGAATTAAAATTTTTTCAAGGTCATTCTAATAATATTCAAAGATAGAGGTCATTCTAGTCCAAATCTTTGCTTGACAAGGTCATTCTAGTAAACCACCCTTTTTTAATCGGCTGTTTTTCTGATTGGGTTTAAAGATTTAACCGAATCAATTAATTAATTAATTTAAGTTCGGTTTTTTTGGTTACGGTATTTTAGGCATCTCTAGCTAGAATATGTATACACTTTGTCATATATGTAGATCAACCCATCTACAAACTACATG